TGATAAGGTGACCAGCCGTATGCGGTGACCCTGCGTACTCTCAAACATCCTGCCCGGCTGAACCCTCACGGTTCAGGGTGTGGTTCTGGAGCTTCGACAAGACGGCATATCTTTTGTACCGGGCGTTGGCACCTGTGTTTGATGAAAAGTCCCTCGGGTGATTTCCTTTCGCTATTGTACTCCACAGTGACCGTGCGAACTAAACCGTCGCTTCCTGGGTGCACGTCGATGATGCGACCGATACGCCAATAGGTAGGGGGCAAATTTTCATTCTGAATAAGGACAATGTCACCTATCTGCAGATTTGGAGAAGACCTGGTCCACTTGTTGCGCGCTTGTAAAGAGGATAGATACTCGCCTTGCCAACGCTTCCAAAAATGCTCGAACATTCGCTGCAACTGTTGCCTGTAGAGTAGTCGATTTTCAGGAACCTTAGGAAGAGGGGGTTCTGGTCTAGCATTGAGTTGGCGACCGATAAGGAAATCCGCCGGTGTAATGGCGAGACAGCCATCTGGATCATCACGAAGCGGGACAAGTGGACGCGAATTAAGTACTGCCTCAATCCTGACGAGCAACGTACTGAGCTGATTAAATCGTAAAATTTGTCGGCCAATCGTGCGGTACAGATGCTTTTTCGCGGAGCGCACAGCAGCTTCCCAAAGCCCTCCGTGATGTGGTGCGGCAGGGGTAATAAACTTCCAGCTGGTGCCCCTATCTGCAATGTGCTGCCTTGCTCGGTCATTGGTCCACTCTTTCAAGTCTTCTTTCATCTGCCGGTTAGCGCCAACAAATTGCGTACCGTTGTCGCTGTACATAACCGAGCTTATGCCCCGCCGGCTGATGAAGCGGTCAAAGATATTAATGAAAGACTGGGTAGATAAGTCTTCGGCTAGTTCAATGTGTACGGCCTTAGTGGCCATACAGACAAAGATAGCCGCATAGCACTTTGTTGTTGTGGACGACCTCCTGCCGCCAACACGCACGTTAAAAGGGCCGCAGTAATCCAGGCCAGTATGAGTAAAGGGTGGAGATACCAACACACGAGATTTTGGTAGAGATGCCATCTGCTGTTGTTGGGTAGTCTTTTGATACCGGCGACATACAACGCACCTATGAATGTAGGACTTAACCAGGGTACGGCTGTGAATTATCCAATATTTGCGTCGCAGGAACTGTAGCATTTCCTGTATGCCACCATGCAAGCTTTGTATATGTGCATCATGGATGAGCAAGGTTGCCAATGCGCTGTCACGCGCGAGGATTATAGGGTGCCGTAGTTCAAATGGTAAATCAGCATTGGTAAGTCGGCCACCTACTCGTAGAATGCCTCCTTCATCCAGGAACGGATTGAGGGGCAGTATTTTACTTGAAGCGTCTAGTCTGGAACGAGACTTAAGTGCATTAATGTCGGATATAAACGCGTTACCTTGCGATTGCCGAATATGCAATTCAAGTGCCCACTCCTTCTCTTCAGCTGTGACAACCTCGTCTCTTCGAGTACCTTTAAAGCGTGGAATCAGCCGTCGGATACGTGCAGTTGTATTCAGCAGTCTTGTCAACCTACTAAATTTGTGCACCAAGGGAATCCGATGTTCCTTGGATGTCGTCATAAGAAACGATGGTATGACGTGAACGCTTAGAAGAGCCCTGATTGGTCGAGTTTCGTCCGCGCAAACTCGTTGTTGCTCGGTAGACATAGCTGGTAGTTCGTATGCGAGTGCATCAATTGAATGAATGATGGCTGGTCCTGTCCACCACAGCGTGTTTTTTTCTAGTATGGATGGGGTGATGCCGCGGCTGGCGCAGTCTGCGGGGTTGAATTCCGACCGGACATGTCTCCACGCACTGGTATCTGAATTCCGTTGAATGTACGCTACACGGTTAGACACATACTGCTTAAAGGCAGATGCAGGTTTCCTAATCCAATTGAGGACAATAGTGGAGTCGCTCCACAATGTGTAAGCGGCGCCCTCAAGATGCAATGCTCGACGAACACTGTTCATTGTAACGGTTAACAGTTGCGCTCCACACAGTTCCAAGCGGGGAATGGTCTGCTTCTTAAGAGGTGCCACCTTGGTTTTCGCGGCAACGAGTGTCACCCTTGAGTCTCCGCTTCCATCTATACATCGCATGTAAATTGCGGCTGCATATGCGCTTGTGCTCGCATCACAGAATCCATGAAGACTGACCGCCGCGCTGCATGTAATACCAAGCCATCGCGGTATACGGACTCTTTCCAAAGCCGGAAGATTGTTTCGAAACGCCAACCAAGTATCACGAAGTTCGGCTGGTAATGGTGCGTCCCAATCCAATTGAGCCTGCCAAAGCTTCTGGATGAACATCTTTGCTAACACGATAACTGGCGCAAGCATGCCAGTTGGGTCATACAGCCGGGCTGTGTCTCTCAAAACTGCACGTTTAGTAATAGGCAACTCATTATCACATAACTTCGTCTTGAAGAACAAGTTGTCGGTAACTGGGTTCCAGTGTAGCCCCAGTACTTTCGTGTCATGATCGCCCAAATTGATTGCCAAATCTGCTACGGAAGAGCCGCATATTGTCGCTTGGGCCCGTGAACAGTTAGAATTCCATTTGTCTAACACGAATCCACCTAGTTGAAGAATGGTGCTAACATCTTGTGCTCGGATGACTGCCATCTCTGTAGTATCGACGCTATCCAAATAATCGTCGACATAAAAACATTGAAGTATGCTGTTGCGCGCTGCGGCTGCCCGGCTGCCGTCGATGATGGCTTCAGCGTTATCAAGTGCGCATTGTATTAGCGCGCGAATTGCATTTTATGGGCTGCATGTCATACCATAGGTCACCGTTTTGAGCTGGTAAATACGCAGTGTTTCGTTAGGCGACTCTCTCCACAGGATTTGTTGCCATTTACGATGTCTCGGATCAACCCACACCTGACGAAACATTTTCCTTATGTCTGCAGTGATGGCTATAGCGTACCGTCGAAATCGGTGTAGTATATCTACCAAGTTGTCTTGCAACTGCTGGCCGGAAAAGTGAGTGTCATTAAGCGATACACCGTTGGTAGTTTTAGATGACGCGTTAAAGACCACCCGAAATTTTCCGGTGACGGCATGATGAGGGATATAATAACATTGCGTGAAATTTGTGGGATTTGTTTCGATCGCTTCCATGTGACCCAGTGTCACATACTCACGCATAAAATGTACGTATTTTTCACGCAAGGAAGAATCTGCGGCGAGTTTCCTTTCAAGCTGTAGAAATTGGCGGAGTGCCACCTGATGTGAGTTACCAAGAGGTGATGCATCTGGCCGAAATGGTATTTGAACGCAGTAGCGGCCATCAGCCGAACGTGTAACGGTTTTAACAAAAATCTCTTCACACTCATCAACGTGAGAGGTGACCTCTGCCGGGGGCTCTTCCGTCTCCCAAAACTTACGCAGCAACTGTTCAAGGCACTCTTGCTCCACAGGGTTGGATGACAAGAGTGTATGATGCATTGTAGAGCTGCAGCTGGTAGCTGTGGCTGGGCCAAACACAATCCAACCCAGTCTCGTTTGCAGGGCACAAGGCATATTGTTGGGACCTGTTCTGATTTCAGTTAACAACAAGGTTGGCAAGATATCCGCACCAATAAGAAGATCAACCGTGCCAGGTGTTCCCAACGTAGGATCTGCTAACTGAAGATCATGCACATAGGTCCATGTCGATACGTCAATTGATGTAGCGGGAGTTGTTGATGTAATAGAATCAAGTATGTAAGCGCTGAAGTTGAGCGAGAACGATTCGTCAACCAATGAACGCATGCAAACTGGAACAGTTCCCTTCGTGTGCGCTGAGAGACTTGAATCGACGCCTTCGACCCGAAGTTTACAAGCATTTCTAGGAAGATTCAACAATGTGAGCATGGGTTCGCTAATGAAACTCACCTGGGAACCCATATCGCAGAGAGCTCGACATTCCTTCATTATTCCGTTACGACCAATCAGCAGTACTTTAGCGGTCGCTAGCAGTACAGTCCGATCACCCTGCAAGAGGAATGACTGGACGTGACCCAACCGTCATTGCTGTCGGGTGTAAACCTGCGGCGCCATGACTTGAGTCTCGTTGATGCGGCGCATCGCTGGTGGCTGTGCGGCTGATGCGTTATCAGGTTCCGCTACTGGTGTAGTAGTCTCACATTTACGGCATAGAAGAGTGTTATGCTTCTGCTGACACTTCGTGCATACACCCGACGGACAATCGCGGGTGCCATGGCCGGCTCTTAGGCAATTAAAGCAAAGCGACCATCCTCTCACCTTGCTCCACCGCTCCTCTACCGAGAGATTCCGAAATCGGGGGCACTTTATCAGGCGATGAGGATCAGCGCATTGAACACAGGCGACGGCGCGTTGCTGGCCTGAAGGTGCTTGGGTGGACTGCACTGTTGTAGTAGCAATGTGCGCTCTTACCGCTCTTGACGAGGGCCTTGCAATTGAGGCAGCGGAATTTGAGGTTATTGTAGCAGGCAAGTTGTTAGCGCGACGCTCAAGGAAAACCAATAAGTGTTCCAGTTTGGGTATATCGTTTGTTGTTAAGCTCATCCCCCATTCGGTACGAGTTGAAATGGGCAGCTTGGGCAAAATAATCGGTACCGCTATGGCATCCCAGTATGACACTGGTACCCCCATCACTGCTAATGCTCTAAATGAATTGCGCACGCAATCAACAATATGGCATAACACCTTCTGCGACTCATGCGGCTGGTTGGGCAAGTCGAGTAAGCGTTGGACATGCGTTTCCGACAGTATGCGCGGGTTATCGAAGCGACGCCTAAGTGCTGCCCAGACCTCTTCGTATCCGCCCGTATACAAGCCGCCTATTAGAGGAACGTTATCTGATTTCACGTACTGGCGGAGCTTGCCAAGCTTGTATGTTGGATCTAGGTCTGTGCGATTATGAACCAGGGTCTCAAACATATCTTTGAAGACCAACCAGTTCGCTGGTGATCCATCGAATATGGGTATTGAGATCGGATCCAGCCTCATATCTGCAGCATGATTTAGCGAAGCCGCTACTTCTGGAACCTTTTGTTCATTTGCCATCTTGCGCCTTAGTGAAATGCAAATGTTGTTGTATATTTGCTCTGTTGCCGCAAACAGCTCATCGTGGTCGTCGATTTCTTCTCCCCGAGCTACGGCGACCAATGCCAAGTGGTTCTCCACGAACCGATTGTAATGCTGGAGCGACGTGGACAGCAGCTGGTCGACCTCGATGCGATCGGGATCGTAGTCCATTGCCTCCACCTGGGTCCAAATCCGCTGGAGCGATGTTCGCGCCGAAGTGCGCAAATTTAGCGCGGCCATAAGAAGTCAAAATACGCGTAAATCTAACCGGAACCGTAAGACCCTCCTCACAGGAGGCACCAAAAATGTTTAGATATGAACACGGCTAAACACTCAAAAATGAAATCGACCCT